GAAATAGAAGTGAAATACTGAATAAGAAACCACATTGAAAAGAAACAAAAATGCTGAAGTTTCAATAACCTTGCAGTAACAATCAAGACTTGTGTCTATGTGTGAGCAAGACTTTAGACCCAAACTCTATCTATTATAATATGCATCCAGAACAGTCTTAGCTTATTGAATAAAGAAAATACAATAAAAAAAAACTAATAAAGATGATAAACTGTTTGCAAGTGGGGGTTAAAAGATCAGCACATTCCCTTTGACTACAATGAAAAAGACTGCGGTCACAGACAGATCTGTCACACACACACCATGAGACCTCTGCATGGAGCTGTGCTGTCTACCCAAACACTGTGGCCTTTGATAGCTCGTCATACACCAGCAGTCAGGGCCTAGAAACAACCTCTTGCTATTATTTAACTCAACCTCCTTCTAAGTGGATGAAAAAAGAAGCTTCTTTCTTTTTTTCCTTTTTGTGGGGGGGTAAGGAAAAGAAAAAAAAATTACATGATTAGGGTCGTAATAATATGAACACATGGCATTTGAGTGTGCCAAGAATAATAAGTGTCTCTAAAACCATTGCATTCTTTCTAAATGAAACCCATACTTGCTTGCCAACCACCCTACACTTTTCAACTCTATTCATCATCTACAGAGCAGATGGAGGTAGCACTCAAGGAAAGGTCTCACAATGACACTTATTTTTTGCTGTCATTCTATGTATAAAGCAGGACACATCCAGTGTTGCACGACACATTGGAAAGTCAGACACTGTAGCCTTGTTTTAGAATAAAATGTATCTTCCTTTAAATCAAAGGGGAAAAAAAACAACAAAAAATAAAAACAACATACAGCTTCTGACAAGGATTTGCTGGGATATGAGGGAAAAAAAAGTTTTTTGAGGCTTACCGACTACTTTGGGCAGTTTCTGTCGCCTCAGTGGAATACGGGGAAGTTTAGTGCTGATTCGGCTGAATCGTCCGCACAAAATCCTCTTGGCTTTTTTGCTGTTGGTGGAATTGTCTCGGTTAGCACTGAAAAGGGATGATGCCATGGAAATCTAAATTAATCTATAAAAGCAGCCATTTTAAACCTGACTCTTGGCCTCCTTTGAGTGCTATTGAACTGCTTTGTATACAAAAAGTCACGTCAACCAAAACGCCCTTTATAATGCAACTTCTACCTCCTTATATTTGTAACAATCATCTTTTTTTACGGGAAAAAAAGGATAAACATAACATTTCTACTTTTATCTCAATTATAATGTCTTTCTGTCACTCACTTGTGGTCGTCTTTGTCTCTGCAGAGGCAGCAGCAGCACAGTAAGGAGAGAAGAGCAATCAGTAAAAAGGAGACCAGGGACCCAGCTGCAATCACACCCATCCGTTGGTTGGGCTCTGAAAGATAAAATACAGTAAGTGGAGGGTGTGCCACATGTGTGCAGGAAATGCCACTTTCAAAAGTAGGATCCAGCAAACTCTAAAAACACTCAAAGTTAATTTGTTTTAGTGACACAATGTAAAATTACATTTACACAATACTAAGTATTGGAACTAAGTCCAAATTCTTGCACATATAGGAACTTTATTAATGTGACGGCTTGGTATTGGATAATTCCTCCCCAAAGACATTAAACCAATTAAACCATCACCGAGATTTCCTGCAACAACCTTCCTCCCCTCATCCTAAAACTCGTTAAATGATTTATCAGCACCCCTCCCTCTCTCGAATAGGATACAACCCAAGTATAATAAGTGCTGTATTTCACAAACATAGACAGCATAATGCACTTGCAAGGACAAATGAGGATTAAATGAGGAAAAGTTCGGAGTTAACTGACTGACATTAATAACGCTAAAGTCTGGGTGTGGCAGGTTGGATTAGTTGATTTTGAAAGAGGAGTTAAACAGGAATGACAAGGTCTCATAATATCACTGACCAACCTGCCACCATTCATCTTTTCCCCTGGCCAAAATCCCTGCTATCCTTGTGTGCTCTAACCTGATTTGCTTCATATCCATTTAAAAAAAGGTGATCTCAAATTTCAAAATCAGCCCCTGCATTTCTTTTTATTCTGTCTCGACTGAACTTTCTCGTCACCTCATCTCCCATCGTTTTATGTGGTCTTTGTCCCCCCATCTTCCCTACTGTGGATGTAAAGGAATAGAGCCAAGAAAAGAATCATAAGAGGTATAGAGAATAAGAATCGTAAGAATGAAATGTGATTTAGCCAGGAAATAAAATCAAGGACCCTAAATCTTCCATTAGGCTAATTTAGCCAAATAATTGATTTGCTGCCACTTACAGTTGTGTTTGAAAGTTTACATATCCTCCCATTAAACAAAATGACAAATTCACACTAGCAATTAAATTAACACTGAAAAAAGTAATCATACATTAAAAAATACCTAATAAGAATTTTGTAAACCAAGGTATTGATCTAGATTTTATTATTTAAAAAAGTTTTGAAAAGAAATTCAGTATTTTCAGAATTTTTAAACATCTGAATTAGCTGATGGCCTCAAAGTGTTGCTCAAAACATTTTAGAT